AACCAACATAGGAAAGAAATTTCAAAATGTTTCTGGCAGAGCTGGGTGTGGTGGTGTATGCCCCTGTAATCCCAGCTATGTGGGAGGCAGAGGTAGGAGAATCATGGTCCGAGGCTGACCCTGGGAAAAAGTGAGTCCCTATATGAACAACAACCTAAAGCAAAAAGGGCTGGAGACATGGCTCAAGTGGTGGAGTGCTTGCCTACCAGCACAAAACTTTGAGTTCAAACCTAGTATCGCCAAAAAACAAAAACAAAAATGCTTTTGGCATCCTGAATGCTGATGGAGGTGGGTGACTGTTAAATTATTATAGAAACTGCAGTTGAGGGACACCATGGGCTCTGGAGGTTCATGACTTTGGATGCCAAGTAGGCAGATTTAATGGGATGTCTGTAATAGACCATTCATGTGAATTATTCCTATTTTCCCCATCCCCACAGTGGTACAACCAAGGGCTAGAAACCAGGTGTTGATCCTGCAGGCTGATCTCTGAAGAAACTGGTGGAATTGTCTGGGGAGAGCCCTGATACTAGTTTGGAAGTTAGCTTCACATAGAGGGTTGCTCTGATGGCCACTCTGAGCTTACTGCCTCTGATCTAGGATGCAGTTCTCTCCTCCAGGTGTTCTGTTGTCTCAGATTTCAGACTGGAAATCACCAGAGCCCCAGGGAAGCCTTTGACATGAAAGAGAAGGACAAAGATCAAGAAACAACAAAAAATAGCCCCCAGGAATCAAAGGATCCTGGGAATAGGAGAGGGAAAAACCCTCAAATTATCCCAATGAGAGGTTCTGAAAGTGGCATATATTATGAAAAACATTCTAGAAGCAAGGAACCACTAGAGATCAAGAAAGAAGATTGCAAACTAAAATTATGACCCACCAGGTGCCTTCAAAGAAGGGCTGGTGGAAAGTGAGTTGAGAAAATTGCCCAGAGAGGAGAAGAGGAAGACAAAGACAAGATGAATATGAAGATGACAAAGAAGAAATCTCATTTGCTTAAACTTTAGATGACACAAACATGAGTTCAACTCTTTCTTCTAGAGGGTGTTTGAATAAACTTGGCCTTTTCTCTTTATTGCAACTCTTCTCATCTTTCAAATGAGTGGAAAGGCATGACGTGCCTGGTCTTGTCTGGGAAGGAGTCGAGCAGTGTGCACTTCCATTGCGGGTCCACGTGAGCCCCGGCACGATCCACCTGAGTGGAGACTCTGAGGGGCTCCAGTCTCTGTACAGAAGATGATGTCCTTGAGAGGTGACATGTCATTAGACTCTGCATGACAGTCACTTGATGAGTTCAAAATCCAACATTAGAGGTGGTTTCCCCAAATACAGACAGTGATCTTCTGCCTGTTATTCAAGACTCTTAAAGCTTTCTAATCCTAAGAAAGTTGTGGGATTTGGGGCCATTTCTAGATGTCCTCATGAAAAGTGGGTGTGTTTTATTGTTCTGAACCTCAAGGTCATGATGTGGAATCCTCCCCTACATGGGGCATTCATAGATTCTGACTTGGATTTTAAAAAGACGGAGTTGAGTGTTTATGTAATAGATCTGAATAGAACATTGATGGATGTCCCTGAGAAAGGTTTAAAAAGATCCTGATGGTATGCTTCCTGTGAATTTCTAGGAGTTTCTCTCTCTATATTGAAAACAAGGGGCAGTGATTGCCAAGTTGTGGATAAACTTTGGTCCACTTAAAATTGCAAAGCTTCCCTCCCACCACCTGCAGTCATCTCTTTCCTGCTGTAGAGCTCACCTTTGTTACAGGTAGTGCAGGGTGGGATGTGGGGTTTCTGACACTGAATGTGTAGATCAGTCCTTCGATTTGAAGAAAAACATTGTGATCATGGGGCAGAGGTTTAGTTTACATTTGAGTGAGATTGTTCTTATGTTCATACTCTTCTGATTTTTGACTCTGGAGAGAGATGAGCCACCAAGTAAAACATTGATTGTTTTAACCTATCTAGTTAGGCATTTAGGCAGACACATGGAGCAATACCGATCAGTGTCTGTTACAATAAATTCCAAGCAATTCCCAGGCAGCTCATATTGCATTAGAATTTAATGTCATTGAATATTGATTAAAATAAGTACATCAACTAGGAATTATAAGTTAGTGACACTTAGTTTTCATTTTATGGAAATATGTATTGTCATAGGTTTGTTGTACATTTAAAAACTTAAGAGTTTTGTGAGCTAAATGTTGATTGGAACAGTTTTTCTCAAATTTCTGAGAATTGTTTTTTTCTGTTTTTTAACTTAAAGTGGTCTGTGTACTTTTATTTATAGCTTTATAGATGGATTTTCCACGGAGAGCAATCTATCTAGATATTCTGTGGCACATAAAAGATCACTTGAGAGTCGTGTTCAGAAACATATTAGAGGAAGTTACAGAAGCTCTGGCGCTCAGGGCTTCCGAGGTGTAAATTTCAGAGCAACTGTACCCTCTCTTGCTAGGACCCTGGCCATTGCATTTTCAGCATTGCACCGTCTCGTTGTAGGGTGCGTGCATATTTTAAAACCTTTAGTTCACATGTTAGCTTGCATTATATGCAAGCCAGAAACAACCGTGAAGAGGAAAATGGATTGTATCCTACCGGATATGGACATAAGTCTTGTCAGGCTCTATGCCTTATTGCTCTATGCCTGCTTTTGTGATGAGATACGAAATCCATATTTATTGGATACAGATGGCATATTTTGTCCTACTTGAAACTTTTGGGTAGATAGATGTTTTCATACTATTTCCATTATGCCAACAATTTAAATTCTTGATTTATCTGTTTGAATAAAAAAACGCTGGTGTGTCAGAGTCTAGTGGAAAGACTCCACATAAGATTGAGGTCTAAAAATGCTGAGGTTTGAGACTGGTTCTGCCCCTGTTTTTGTTTTTTCTATAAATTTGGGCAAGAGTTAAGAACAACTGTCTTGTAGTATTGTTAAGAGGATCAAAACAGAGAAAGGAAAGGAAAGGTCTTTGTAGAGCTTAAGGTACATTACAAATTTTAATTCCTTTATCTTGTGTGTCTTTGCTGGTGGTCTCAGTCACCTTAGCAATGTGGAAGTGCTCATTTTATTTATTTATTTTTTATTGTTGTAACATTTACAAAATTTCTTACAATTTATCATAGTTGAATTCACCCCTCCATCATTCTCCTTTATTCCACTTCCCCCTATTTCTGGAATAGTTTTAACAAGTCTCATTTTTCCATTTATATACATGTGTATAGAAAAGGGCATATATAGTTAGCTGGGTGTACTCCGTGGTAGAGCATTCCCCTAAGCAAGAGCAGGGCCCTGGGTTCAGTTCCCACCACTGCAAAACTAACCAAAAATCAGATTCTTTTAAAAATACCATAGCATTGAAAAGCAGTCACCACATTTGCTGCTGATAGAAGAGAACACAGATTTTGCCCCAAACAATGTATTTCCATATGAGTAAGTCTGTCTAAAATAAGGAAAGTGCTATTTCATTTGAGAGAAAAAATACCCTAGAGATAAAAGAGGATGAATGGATTAGCTCTTTGTCATAATGGGGAGGGGCCAGGACATTGTAGTACAACAGAAAGCTCTACCTTCCAGGCTTGATTGTCACAGCACTTTGGGGGCTGGGTTTTCTCTGAGACTCATAATCATTCATGGGTATGTGACACTGACTGAAGTGCACAATGGCCGTGTAAACAGCAGGTGCTGCCAGTGTGCTCCATGCTAGTGACAGTTCTGCCAAAGCTTTGTTGAATGTTTCATTTGGAAATCGTAGGAACAAATAATAAGCAACTGATGGGAATATGTAATTATCTAATGCGTACATACAAGAGAAAGAGACATAATGTTTACTAATTGCTTCGTGTGTGCCAAGTATGCTTTTGTTTTGTTTACAGGTTTCTTCTTTAATCATTGTACCTCCCCTGTAAGCACTGTTTTCCTCATGAGATGAGTTACATAGATTACTCAGAAGTGCACAACCAAAGATGGTAGAACTGACCTTGGATTCCAGTTTTGCCCCACACCCCTAGGGCCTGGCTCCCTTTTGTGCAGTAGGTTGTAAATTTGAGCTTAAGAAGGGTTGCACCGAGCCTTAGAGTCTAAACAGTGCACAAATGCTTGGTCTTGGACCTTTAACAGAGGCTCAGTTAAGTCCCAGATGGATCCGAGGCTGCTCACCAGCCACTTGCTGCCTCTCCTTGCACTGGGAAGGTCAGAATTGCAAGTGTGGGTGGAATTGGAGGCAAGAATGATGTCCTCTTACTTTTGCTGTCTTTGCGAAAGAGCCCTGGGAAGGCTCAGGCCCTCAGCTGTCCTCCCTAAGGGTTGCAGGCTTGTAGCTTGTAGAGTCAAGAAGGTGCATCATTCTTAGATACTGAGTTCTAAGCATTTAGAATGTCAACCTTTGGGGCTCAGTGTTCTTTTTCACTCAGTGTCTCAAACGTATCCCTTCCTTATTCATAGTGCTGTCACTCTATTTTCAGCCTTATAACTTTCACATTTAAATATTTGAGTTTATACTTACCCGATTTATCATAGTTGAATTCACCCCTCCATCATTCTCCTTTACTCCATCACTTTCATCAGCATATGCTGTTCTCTCTCACTTTGAAGAAACTTTCTTTTTCCCTAATGTATAAACCTTTTATATAATTCAGGGCTTGGTTTAATTTCCCACTGAAAACTATTCCTCTGGCCGGCCTTGGGCTCTTACTTCTTGGGACCTCCTGAATTGCATGCTCTGTACTATCTGTTCTGTTGTTCCTGAGAGGTTTCTAAATAGATTGGAGGGTTTCCAGACCTCAGATTCATTCATCTACTAGATTCCCACGCACAGCAGCTATAATAAAGCCATCACTTGTTGACAGATTTGTTGTCTCGATTTTAGCACTACTTAAAATTAAGAAAAACATTGAAAAGATACCACCATAGAGAAAACTGCAGTGATTTTTCAGTTTATTTGATATTTTACTGATGTGTTGAAGTGTTTTTTTTTTTTTCTCCCTTGTCTTACCAGCGATCAAAGAGAAGTACACAGATTGGACAGAGTTCCTCATACGTGATTTGACTGGCTCCCGGACAGCTCCTGCCAACCTGCTAGAAGGTGTATGTATTACTATTATACATCTGTTATGTCTCTGAAGCATCCCAGTTCTGTGAGCTCAGATCTCTTGGCACCTTTGCATATATCCTTCTGCAGATACATGTGTCCACACAGATACCTGTTCAAATAGCCCACCTTCCTGTTCTACTGGATTATATAGGTGATGGATTTGAATGGCATTGATTAATCTTTCCCGGTGTTATAATCATAAGTGGAAAATTTGCTCCATGTGAATACATTTTTAAATTATGTGTCTTGTAAGTTTAAGACTTTCTCCTCAATTAGTGAACATAAATAAATTCCGTGGAATACTTCCTGAAGAGGCCATGATAAGCATATACATATGTCTTTGCTGATGTGGTCTTAGAGCACTTTGATAAGTGGTTCTATTAAATATTTGATTTCAGATGCATAATGCCAAGCTTCTGAGCATTAGCTTCCCTTGTAGAAACAAGAGGAAGAATAGCTGACCACATTTAAATGTAGCTAAGGCAGTTTTAAAGGTTCCATACAAAAAAAAACTTAATATGACATCTTGATGGTTTGTTTGAAAATAATTTTATGATGAAACAGTTAATATGTATTATATGTAATAGAAAAGGAAGAGAAAGGTGCTGTGTTCTCAATAATTATTGAATTACCAAATTTGTCTTAAGAGTGCCCCTGGAAAAAGAAGAAACTTCATGAATGTCTGGGAATTGAATGTGGATTCTGACTTCAGTATTATCAGTATCATTTAACTTTATTTTTCCCCTTCTCAAAAATAGTATTGATACTTCAGATCACCACTATCTGATACACAGTTAACAGATTTTGTTTTGTAATGATTTTGCCTAATGTATTTGCTTATCTTAATAGCTACTATTTTACTTGTCGGGTTAACAAATCAAAATGATGATTGTTCACCCTTTCAAAGGGACAAATTGCCTTACTGTGTTAATTTTTTTTAAAACCCATTTGGCTACAAGGCTGGCTAAACAAACACCCTTTTCATATATTAACATATGTTAAGAAGGTTCCTTAGAAAAAAGCAGTAATTACCTATTTTACAAACTAGTTATCAGGCTAAGTAGTTAAATATAGAAATAACTTGATATAATGGTTGCATTTAGCTGTTCATGAATGTGTGTTAGAGTGGTCATCGACCACTAGTTGTGCTTTTCTCACCTTAGTCAAAATGGAGAGAGACTTGGCTATTAGAGGCCACAGTAAGCTGAATGTCTCTTGATTCATGGAATAAAATTATTGCCCTATTAGATTCATTGGTCTATTTGAAAAGCAGACATTTTGCTGCCACATGTTTTCTATCTCCAGGCAAATCTGGGTATAGCTCTTCTTAAAAGTATACTAATTTCTAACAAATGCAGTTTGATCTGGGAAGGGTGATTTGTTTGGTGAAAACCTAGCACAAACTGTTATTTTCTATTTACTTGTGATTTTTGTTGTTGGATACAGCTTCAGTACATGGATGTGTGCGAGGAGGAAAGGGAAGAGGGTGGGATAATGGCTGTGCAGAGGATGGGGGTGGCGGGAAACGCCAGACTGTTTGCCAGTAGCTTGGATGATGGTGTGAAAAAAATATTATCTTCTGCTGTCATCTGTTTCCATGAGAACCTTAAAATAAAGTTTAAAATAAGGAGTTTTGCTTCTGTTTAAACAGCCTCTGCGAGGGAAAGGCCCTATAGACCTCATTACAGTTGATTCCTTAATAGAACTTCAGGATTCTCAGAACCCTTTTCAGTACTGGATAGTTAGTGTGATTGAAAATGTTGGAGGAAGATTACGCCTTCGCTATGTGGGATTGGAGGACACTGAATCCTGTGACCAGTGGTTGTTTTACTTGGATTACAGACTTCGACCAGTTGGTTGGTGTCAAGAGAATAAATACAGAATGGACCCACCTTCAGGTAAGGGCCAAAGCTTTTGCTGCTGTAAAGTGTTTTTAAGATGAGATGTGTTTCTGAAAAATGTATTCACTCTGTGGAATCTCTTACATCTGAATAAATGAATTTTTAGCATGTTAACTTCAGAATACTTTGGAAAGAGAAAAAAATCCCAAACTCTGGTTGATAGCATTGGGAAAGGGAAAAGTAAAGTTGGAGGCCTTAGGGAAGTTGGTCTGGTTCTTTTGGAATCATTGGATCAGAATGGAAGACACAGTCCTTTGGGATTTGAGTGTATTCTCCTTTTTTTGTATGTAGGCATTTTAATTGTTTTGTAATTTGATTCCACAATCCCCATCTGACTGTCCATCCGTGTACCTGTGTATCCACCTTTATCCATTTAGCTGCTACATCCCTATCACCCATTCCCCATGCATCCCTCCATCCACCTACCTGCTCACCATTCTTCTTACCATCCAACCATTCATCTGTCCATTCATATCTATTTATCTGTCTCATTCATCCATACCCATCCCTCCACCCACCACTAACCCTCTTAACTACCCAACCATTCATCTATCCATTTCTCTCTATCTCTCTATCTACCCATCTCATTCTATCCATCACCATCCATCCAGCTTGCTTATATAGCCCATTCTGAACAGGAAATAGCACCAAGAAAATCAGCATATTTTTGGGTTTTTTCCCTGTTGCATCATCAATTTTAGATATCTTCAAATGCACCATTAAATGCTTGTGCACGTCTTAGTTGGATAGAATAGTGCATTATGCCTTTTGTCATACCTAAGTCATCAAAAATCTGTGTTTACAAAATACCCATTCTTAAATTCTTACCTTGTGCCAGGTGATTTTACATCTGCTATGTTGTTTATTTTGATTCTAAAAAAGTGTCGCATGTTCAGTGTGAATTTCATTTCACAGTGAGAAAATTGAGACTGGATTAAGTTACTTGTCCAAGGCTTTCCAGCTTGTAGGGAACAGGAGCTGTGATTCGAATTCCCTGTCCTGTGGCCATTCTACCCCATTGCCTCTGCTGACCAACACTGCTCTTACCAACCTTATGCTAGGAAACTTCGGAACAAAAGTGTTGGCTTCTGCTGGAGGCGTGGCTCAGAGGTAGAGTGCCTGCCTAGCAAGCCCAAAGGAAGCCCTGAGTTCAAACCCCAGTGCCACCAAAAAAAAAAAAATTAGTATAAAATTGTTGGGTTCTTGTGGAATTAGCCATGCCAAGGAAGAAATACTCACTTCTTTCAGATATTGCTTATCTTCATTTGGTCAGTTTTGCTGGTATATTGGAGCAATCAGTTAGTTCCTTATTAAAATTGCCTCCTGTTAATCTTGAGTACATAAAGGTGAGAAGTTATATTTACTCTTTCTGTCACACAAGGGCTTTGATTGTTAAAACCTTCCTTGTTCTGGATCCTGCTTGCTTGCATCTGTGTTAAGCCTGACAGGTGTTTGACATGTAACCTTGTATCATATTATATTCATATTGTTATTGTCAATGTTTTGAGAAGCATCCAGGAAGTCCTTTTATAGCCTGAGCAGTTTTGGACAGTGATGAACAGAGGACCTGTCAGGATTGTGAGGAAGGGTATGAGCTAGGGTTTGCCTTAGGATTCATAACCTGGCATGAAAAAAATGTACTTTATGGGGGAAGGGCGGGAGTATAAATTTCAGCTCAGTGCCTAATTGCTTTAAAAATTCTAGGAGAAACATATATTTGCCAGTGTAAAAGCAAAGAATTTCTAGTAGCTTCATTTGTTCTCTCTTGTTCTTTTCCTATGAAATCTTGGGACTCACACTCAGAAGTGAGAATGAACTGTGTCCCCTAGAAACTCAGGAAATATTTGCTTATGAGTTTCCTCCCTCTTTAGATACTTTCATGTCTTTATAGTGCCTGAAAAAATTATGCTTATTTGTTGTAGGATTTTCTGACATGGGTTGTCCATTTTATGAAAGAGCCCATTGTGGGGGGCGTCCCTTAAGGTTTTGGAAATGGATTTTTTTTTTATCAAGAACTTCTCCAACACTTAAATTGTCATCAAGAAAAGTTGTGCATGGAAGGAAGAAAGCAAAGGGAAAAGTGTGACTTTTAGTTTATTAAGTACAGGAGTTGCAAGATGAAACCTGGATTCTCCTGCCTCATTCAGCAGAACAACACCCCTGGGAAGAGATGCAGTGATTACTCAGGTTTTACCCATGGGAACAGAATCCAGTACTCTGGATTTGTGAAAATTAATTCCAAGTCCCAATGTGACTTGTAAAACTTACCTGGTAGCACCATTTCCTCACCTGAAATAAAGGTGGGAATAAAACTCAGACTTTCAGAAAAGATCTTATTCTCAGATGCTATTAAGTCAGTGGAAAGTGTCCAGCATTGACTGATGGTGAGGAGTGAAGGTGGAGTGTGTTCGGGGGTAGAAGCAAGAGTAGTCATGGGGGTCCTTGGAAAGAAGGAAAGCAGTGTGAGCTGATTCCTTCCACCCACCTCCTCTTCCCTGTGCATTCCCAGTGCACCATCACTGCTGTTAAAGATAGTCTTAACTCTTCCTTAAGTTGTACTTACTCCTTTTACTTTTTAAAAGCCACACTATTTCTCAATTACTCAGTACAAATAGAGGTAATAGAAAGAGGTACTGGAAAGTAGCTGGGAAGTTATTTTTCAGAAACTCTAGAAAAAGGTGCCAGATTTTATACTAGTTACCTCCCAGGATGTGCAGCCATTGGGCATATCCTATATCTGGCTGGAGTTCTGAGGTTTGAGAGGTGAGAGAGAGTGGAGTAGAAGAAGCCAGTAAAATGGGAAAAATTTTTCAGTTGTGGGCTGAGCTGAGTGTTATAATATAACATACACTGGTTAGCATTTTCTACATATTCAAACTGTGGTCAGAGGATTATGGTTATACTTTGTTTTTCCAATTAGTTTCAGGTAGCTCACAGAGGCAAGGGTCATTTAAGAGGCCCGCCTGCTTTCCTGTTTGTGGATGTTTACCAAAGCAAGATAGATTTTGGGTCTTCTTGGTGTTCTTGCAGAAGCGAGGGAGAGGGACATGAAACTTTTTGATGTATTTTTTTTCTTTTCCACCTCATAAATTTTTTCCATATTTTGTCTTTCAAAATCTTTCTTCTTAACATTTTAAATGTTTAAAAGGAAATTCTTGTTTCAAATAGCTCCCGGAGTCCGAATTTAAGCTCCTGAATATAGCTTAAATTTTTCTTACCTAAACTGGATCTTACTCCAGTATGACTTGTGGCTTTCAGTATTTATGTGCATGGGTTTTCCTAACAAAATGCCACAGACGAGGGAGGGGGGCGGGGACGGACGGACAGCTACTTGAGGCAGAGATAGGAGGATCTCTGTCTGAGACTGGCCCAGGCAAAAGCATGAGACCCTATCTGAAAAATAAACCAAAGCAAGAAGGGCTGGAGGTGAGGCTCAAGTGAGAGAACACTTGCTTAGCAGGGTGAGGCTCTAAATTTAATCCCCCCACCCCAGACTAGATGTCTTAAACAGCAGGCATTTATTTCCTTATGGCTCTGGAGGCTGGAAGTCTGCCCTAAGGATCTCAGCATGGTCAGGATCTGATGAGGGTCTTGTTCTGGCTTACACTCAGCTGCCTTCCCCCTGGGTCCTCACGTCAGAGCTTTGCCTTCCCTTCTCATTAGGACATGGGTCCCATCATACAGGCCCTCCCATGTGACCTCTTCTGACCCTGACCACCTTCCAAATACTGTCACATTGGGGATGAGCGTTTCCATCTATGAATTTTGGGAGGGACACAAAACATTCAGTTCATAACACTTGAATGTTTTGAACTGAAGTATATGACTTGATTGTCTCTTGACAATCATAAAGTGTTTCTCCTCACTGGGAAGGACCTGGTGGAGAAGGAGGAACAGAGGTGTGGTGGGGCTGGGCAGCAGAGGGACCATTCTTCTAGGTCTTTGTTTATTGTTGGTCACTTATTTATTTAGTATTATGTCATGCCTTTCTGCAACACTTATTCTGAAACAACTCACTAAACCCATGCTTGAAGGGAGAGCACCTCGTTTTCTTGTAGGCTTGTAGTCATAGACGAATGAGGACCCATTTTACTACCTACAAACAGGAACCAGGATGATGGATTCTGTTAAATTACCTGCGACATGATCATTTTGAAGAAATGCTTTATGTTCTTTTAATGGAACTATTTATTGTCCATAAACTTGCCAGTGTAACCAGTCTGTCTCCCGAAGGGCATACAGGGAATTTGTTCTCTGCTTATGGTATCTTGGAGGTGTTTAGCCTTTGCAAGTGATTTTGAGGTGACTGACCAAGCTTCAGCTGAATTTTATCTTCTTGAAAAAGAAGGGGTGCCTTGTCATAGGATGGGTTCTGCTTTAGGGTTTAGTGTCCACTAAAGAAGACAAAGACTCTAAAGCTTGTAGGACAGAGGCAGAAATTCCCTGACACCTGAGCTGCTTGTTCCATCCATCTCTGGTGTGGAGGTGACTTGGCCCATCTGCCCTCCAGGCCAGTGTGTGAGACTGGGATCGATCTAAGCCCTGCAGAGATCTGTACACCCCCAGACTGAGTTCTGTAGTGTGGATCTACCCAGGCCATGTTGGGCTTCCATTCCTACTGGCCTTGAGTGGTTTTTATTTTTAACCCCTTGTTTAATCCCTGTCTTAGGGCCTCTCTCCCCTACTCAGATATCACAATCAAGGGTGTCACTGGTCAGGATTACAGAACTAGAGAGGGAAGGGTCCATTAAGGTAGATGGAGCCTTTCCTTGTTTTTGCCTTTTGTGTCTTCAGACTCCGTCTTTGGAAATCTCTTTATCCAAAAGGATTCACTTGTTGGTTCTTTTGGCATTTCTATGAGAGAAGTTTCACAGGCTGGTGCTTTTCCTTCCACACTGAGTTGAACTGCTGACCTGCTGGAAAAGTGAATACATTCATGTCTCAGTAGGAGGGCAGCATAGTGGCTAGGGAGCTGTTTCTCTCCTGACTCCCAGAGGCTGTGTTGGTGACCTCTGGGCCTGGCTCCCTAGGTCCCCCAAGTTGCCTTCCCATCCACTAAGGTTTTGATGCTATGCCACTGAGCTTAAGCCGTTTGTGTGTGTCAGGGCATCCTTCTCACCCTCAGGGAGCAAGTCATGGGGCTCTGTCAACTATACCCTTTGCCTACTTTGTGGGAGCACATGAAAATCAATGTCACTCTCAGCATGTCCTTCTTACCTGTGAAGGAACAGTTTATTCAGTCTCTGCAGAAATATTTTATTGAGGTTCTACTGTGTGTCTCCAAATATGTTAGATCATATCTATTTTTGTTTAATGCCAATTTGGGGAAAAATTTTTTTTGGCCAGAGGAAGAAGAATTGATATGAAATAATAAGAAGGATTTTAGCCGGTATACACAATTACAGGATATTATGTCACAAATCACGCTTTGTGTAATGAACAGTGACAGTGGCTAGCTCTGGCAGCATCTTAGATCTACTGTCATTATGTTCCCAAAAGACTAAATAAGCTGCTAAAACAGGGGCTTCATACTCAAGGTGAGTTCAGAAGCTATGAGGATCCAAATATATGGCTCCATGCTAAAAAGCAGACATGCAAGAAATTAAAAATATAGCCCAGAGGTTTAATGTTGCCTTTTAACTGTGCTTAAATTCATATTCATATCCTAACTGTCGGACCGAAGTAGCCTGGTTTGATATAGTGAAGGTATAAACATATCTACTTCCCATGAGTGCTTCTGTAAATCCTATTTTGATAAGGTCTTAAATCTGTTGAGATCAGGCCATAAAATTTCCCTGCAGTTTCAGGAATAGGTAAAAACAGTACTCAACAGTTTTTATCCTTTTTATTTTGCATTCAGACTGTGTGACCTCTGTGTGTAAATCATCCCCCCTCCCACTGCCTGTGGGAAAATATGGCTGACATGTGGTGTGTTAGCAACATTTCAAGTGTAAATATGAATCTTGGTTGGTAAATTTTAATAATTTTTTGACTTATATGGAGTATTTTTAGCACACGAGAGCTTAGAGATTGAGTGAAAAATATGTTGTAATAATGGCAAATGCCAGACCAGAGTCATTTGTGGTTTAGAAATTTGTCAAATAACAAGTTCTTCATCAGTGGTTAGCAGGTCTTGGGTGTTACATGGAATTTAGGGCTGTGGATGACTCAGTGAGGGTTTTGCTAATGTGATTAATACCATTAAATTAGTTGCAGAATGCCCACAAAATGCATAGACTGTTCCCCAAGGAAGAGTCCTATTAGGTTTATTCTTCATTTCTGATAGCAGAATCCCAGGTTGCTATTTAATTTCAGAAAATCCCTTTAGCAGCTGGTGTTGATGGCGGGCAAAGTGTGCACTCAGATGGCTGCTGAGTATGCTGGGGTTAGGGAAACAAGAAAACAGAAGCTAACAGAACATTGCAGTCCTTAAACTCTTCTGTGGTTTCCTGTTGATACAGAAATCTATCCTTTGAAGATGACCTCTGAATGGAAATGTGCTCTAGAAAAATCCCTTGTTGTTGCTGCAGAGTTTCCTCTTCCAATGGAAGTATTTAAGGTAAGTGACAGTTTCCGGGCAGTTTAGCTACTATGTTTAGTTACAAACTTAACAAAGTGTTCTGTCTCAGATCGTGTCCCACCGTTAAGAAAAAAGCTGCCTTCTTGGTCAGTTTCCATTGTTAAATGTTCAAAATTGTGTCTGTTCCATTTTGCTATTTTAAAAAATCTTCATAAATATTGATATTATAGGATGCAGATGAAAAAATTTAGATTACTGTTTTTCTCTATAATGGAGATCTCATTTTCATCCCTTCATCTCTTACCAATGGAACAAAAGAAAATACAGCAAGTCTAATTTTGCTATTTGGTAAAAATGATTGGAAATGATGCTTTCTCCTGATGGTTCAATTTTCCGGATGATTCAAGAAACTTGAGTATCTGCTGCATCCTAGGACATCTGCCAGGGCCTCGTACAGAGATGAAGGACTTGGGAACCAATCCCAAAGGAAAGGGATCACCAAGCAATTCCCACTTTTAAATCCATCCCTTGGACTTACTGGTTCCATCCTCTTCAGCGAAGACTGGGAAAGAGCACTGGTCTTCTAGAGTGGGCTCAGAGAGAATATTGGGTGGGGGGGTCCTCACTGCTCCCCACACTTATTTTATGAGCCCCTGTGCACCTCCATTTTCAGATATACCTGGTGCCCCTACCCTGAGAGCCTTGTGTGGATTCTGCAGTGTTAATTGAGTTAGCTCTCTGCTTTTCTGCTGAAATCTTCAATTTGGCTTTGCTGCATATGTGAAATTAGTTACTTCCTATCAGCTGTTTTAGCTTCCATACCTTTGTGCTGCTGAGTGGGCTTGTGTCTTTTTTTTTGTTTTGTTTTTAAACTCTTCATTATAGTTTTGGTTAGAGTTTAGGTAGAAATTAAATTGATGTGAGTTTTTTTGTATGACACCTTAGCCTGGCACTGCCATTTAGAAATCTCTTTTTGTTTGAACTCTTGGGTGAAAAAAAAAAAAAAAAAGCCAAGACAGGCCAAGTCTGGCATGACTTCACAGTGCATCTGCTTGCAGTTCTCTGTTGTAACATGTCTCAGCTCAGTGTATGAGGCTGCCTCACGCTGGTCTTCATTATGGTCTTCAAATGTTCTCTGCGCCTTTTTTGTTTTTTCTATTAAATTCTTACTCCTTAAAACTCAAATATAAATTCTCAAAGGGACTCATTACCTGGGCTCCTGGACCCTGTCCCCAGCCCATACAAGCTTGGTCCCTGTTCGGAATGTTCTCCGCACCCTGTTCTACCAGTTACATGTAACCATTTGTGTGATTCCTTGTATGATATCCAGCTCCTTTTGCCTAACTTTGAAGTTCCAAGGGTCGTCTATTTCATTCATTGTTAGAAGCATAATTCCTTGTCCGTGGTAATATTTAACAAATATTTGTCTAATAAATGAACAAATTCTTGAATGGATGTCTGTATTCAACTCATTGAATTAAAAATTCGGAGTTAATGTTACAGATTAATTAGATATGCAGACTTATTAAAACTGTGAATGCTAGGGCTTAGAAGGCATAAACATTAATAATTTGATATATTTGTAATAAAAATTACTAATTAAACATTTATTGAGCAAATATTCTATGCAATTGACCTGATTTGACCTGATTTCAGGATTTAATAGTTTGTCCGTATTTTCCAAAATACAATTATTCTCTTTCTTCACCTTAATTTCTTCCTATGAGAATTCAAACTGTTGTTTTGAAAGAGTACTTTCAGTATCTTATTCAATATTTTGTTCATAATTAAGCATTATCTAAGGGTAGATACTAAATATTTCTATAGGGCCCAGCACAAGCAGTGAACATGGGGTGAGGTACTTCATAAATAAAAATTGGTTGTATCAAATATTATGTGTTCTTAAAGGTTGTGAAATACTTTCCTAACTGTTTTCTCTTTTTCAATGTGATGGAAGAGGAATGAGCATGTAGAGCGAATATTTATGTGTTTAATTCAGGGTCATAAGAATAACATAGGCTGTTGTAACAAATCACTGTAGACTGGGTGACTTAACAGAAATTTTTTCTCTTACACTTTTGGAGGCTACAAGTTGAGTCCAGGTGTCAGCAGGACCAGACTCTTACAGGAGGCTCTGAGAGAGAAATAGGCACATGAATCCATCATCACTTCCTGTGTCTACCTGTAGTCCTTGGTGTTTCCTGGCTTGTGGTTGCATCACCCCATTGCCTACCTCTATCTTCACATGGCCTCCTCAGACTATCCTTGCGGTTGCTTCATTTACCAGAAATCCCTAATTTTTTCTCTCACAAGTTTTTAGCCTGCACTATTCCTCTGAAGGGTCTCCAAATAGATGGATGGACAGACGGATGGACAGATGGATGGACAGACAGATACATATAGATATAATTTTTTGGTTATCACTGTTTTATCATCAGTGTTTCTCAGGTTCACATCGTTCTGTTTCTTTCATTATGGTAAAAGGAATATATATTTGAACTCAACAGTGAATCATCCAAGATGCATGTTGCTATGGAAAATTACCGTCGTGTTCACCGTTACAAGACAGGAGTCAATGCTAGGCACATTTAATGACTAGAGATGAGCAGTATTTCCAAGTTAGCCTTTTTGTTATTGTTGCACTTTATATGAAATGGGTACTTTGATGGAATGCATCTCATTGCACTGTGGTTCTCACTCTGGAGGATGTGTTCACATGTCTGTGTACCTATGTCTGTACTCGCACAGTCCAATCGAGTTCATGTGCGCCTTTCCTCTTCTACCTTGAACCCAAACAGAGACAGGGTTAAAAACAAGATCATAGTATTTCTGCTGTTCCTTACCTTTGATTTGAGACAACAATCTGAGCAGCTTTTGGAGTCCATGTTTCACAAGAAAGTCTCACTTACCTTATTAGAAAATGTGGATAATTTTTTTTTTTTTAAAGCTGAGTAGTTGATGAACTGAGGGAGGTTTAAAAACCCATTTTATTGAAAAAATGGATAATAATTTTCTCCTGAAAACTGGCCTCATTACTTAGAGGCTTCAAAGATTTACCAAAACAATCTCTGTACTAGTACTAATTTGCTCCTTGAAAATAATAAGGACATAGAGGTGACAACACTTCCATGTCAGCCTTGTTCTCTCATTAGGTGCTTACATAGGCCAGGTCTTCCTGCTTCGAGTAGCTTGGTAATTGTCAGCTTTCAGAACACAAAGAAGTCTACTTGTGAGTAAAACCTGTACTGGCGTGTCACATTTACCTATATTGCTTCCTCTGCAAGCCACATGTGATTAGCTGACTCATTTTACTGACAACTAAACTGAAGTGCCCCTGTTTCTATGAACAGGACTAATTCAGGGTTTTTTTTTTTTAAGGGGTACTGGGGCTTGGACGAAGGAACTTATGTTTGCCAGACCAGTGCTATACCCCCAGAACGTTGTCTACAGCCCCTTTTTCATTTTAGTTATTTTTTGGTCTGTTCATAACACACAGAAGATTGTACATCCTCTGGTTTCTTCAGTTGCTTTGGTTTTTTGAAACAGGGTCTCCCTGTGTAGCCCAGATGGTCTGGAACTCCTGCTCCTCCAGCCTTAGCATCCTGAGTGCTGGGATTACAGGTGTGTGACACCATGCCTATAATTCAGCATTTTTTTAAAGCTTTAAATTGTGTGCTTATCAGTGATTGCAGATTAACTTCAAGAAGGGCATTTCTTCTACATTTTAGCATCCAAGGTCTGGATTAGAGGCCATGAAGAAGTAAGTGTGACTAAGAGACTCTCTTTTATACCATCTGGGTTGGCCAAAGAGGAAAGAAAGATGTGAGTGCTGTCTTCCAATGGAATGTGAACTTGTAGTTTCTATGGTGCCTGGCAACTTTTTCTCTTGTTTAGCAGTTAAATACAAAAACAGTAAAACACTCGGAGCAAGGTTTGGCTTTCAGGTGGGATTCTTAAATTTTCCAAGAATTTTAGTTCCATTTTCTGCAGACAGAATTTTGTTTCTTTGGCTAACTCATTGAGCAAAAAGTGGGACCCATGGTTGGTATCTCCTTTCATGAATTTATGCCTAAATAGTTCTTTCAATGCAAGGATGTGCTAAGTCTGCTATTTATCATCAGACTGATGGTTGTCACTCTCTGGTCTCCTTGGTGGTGTTCATTTAACTTGTGAGTTTTGTAGACAGTGGCCTGCTATACCAGACTCTCTTCTCTTCGCCTTACTCCACATCTTAGGATGGAGGTCAAGGTATGCAAGACTCTGAGATATTACCATCTCCTGCCATTCTCATTTTCTCCCCTGACTTAAAAAAGAATTTTGTTATACAAACAAAACCTCCTTGAGATGGCAAATCACAGAGAAGTTCAGTTTATTTCATGCCCATTGTTTAAGATAAAGCTTATTTGTGGTTATTTACTGTGTGCTCTGAGTTTATGAGAATTATGTAGTGTGAAAGGACCATGGGGGCTGCCTTGTTTTTATGAGTATCGGAGAAAATCTTGTAAGAGATGTAGTCAAGAGACCAACTCTGGTCAAACAATAAACAAACATAAAAGTCCTGAAATCCAGATAGAGAGAGTCCACTGTAACAGTTGCTTGATTACAGGGGCCAAGCGTTGCTGCTTGCAGTCAGATAGTGAATTGCTCTTAATTTGAAGTATTAAGATTTGAAGAATATAGTCAACCTTCAGTTATCTACTCCGGGAGTTATCACTCCCAAGTAGCTTCTGTTCACCACTGATAATTCTGGCTGGGACTGGTTTTTGCAGCTGCAGAGAAGGGAAGCTAATATTAGTATGAACCTAACATAGTAGAGGTATGGTATGTTGGGGGCCCCAGGGCAATAAATTTCTTGTTTATAAAATTAGATGTATTTCACACTGATTGCTGTGATGTATTTAAATTTTTTAAGACTTAAAATTCTTCTCTCCATTAAAAGGAATAATGAAGCATGTTATATATTCTCTTATTTGTGGAGAATTTTCTTGTGGACTTAGGCCATGATAAAATTGTAAGGAGTCAGCTTTGTCCCCCTAAAC